CGCTATGTGGAACACCATCGGACCATGTACTAATTAGTAGTCTCACTGGAGCACATCTCAGAATTTTAAGCACATATCTTTATTGGTAGAAGAAAAAATTGAAATGTTTTGGGATTTTGATGTTAGGAAAATAAAGTTTAGTTTTTCATCAGTGCATATATCGCCAAAGAAATTGTGGCGATATATGCACTGATGAAAAACAATCTATGAAAAAGTACAGTTCTTTCCATTTGCTCACTCTGTTCAAATATACATCCACGTTTAGCGAAAACATGCTATACTAAGCAAAAGACAAAGATACACCTTAGCAAAGTCACTATAATACTATTCACCGGTAAAATAAACGTAGAACTAAATCTGGATTTGTTAGGCATCATATGTTTTTGACTAGTCAAATAACTTGTTCTCGGGAAGATCTTCAGTCCTAATTTACCATTACCGCGTCAACCATATTATACAGAAGTTTTATGTGCAATAATCCACTTATCCACTTATCCATAACTGCCCATAACAACGTTTTATCCGTTAAATATGTACTTACATGCGCGATCGTGCTGCGTCCCATACTCAGTAGTGCCACGTCCATCCGAGCGTTTACCAGTAATATGAATGAGAATTCCTAATTATTCAAAGATCTTGCTTCGTCAAGTAGCTAATAGCTTTTGTTATATTCTCAGTATTAAAATTATCCCACACCTACAATTCTTAACTATGCATATTGGTGCTTAAATATGATTTAATAAACAGATAAAATTATCCAATTTATGCTTATGAATATTCTTTTTATAAACTTTTTTACTTCATGAGAGTTCATTTCGCTAAAATATAAACAATAATATTAATATAGTATTACGCATTTTGTATTTATTTAGCTATTTCAGTAGAATTGTATTTTAAATTGTTTTATTTCCCCGTGTAATGCAGCGCGTGACGAGTTTTAAGAGAAAGCTACGCCGAAAAAGTAAAAATACAGGAGCATGGGCATTTAATAAATAAATATGTCGTAATTTATATTTAAATTTGTATAAATGCAATTGTGTGTTAGCTGTAACTGTAATTCTACTCTTTTTTTTTCTCAAACACCTCGAGAATATATCATAAGCTTCTCGTAACTGATTAAAAATCCGGACTGAAACATCTCAGTTCAGTTGTATACTTAGCGCTGTTATTGATTGTAGTGAACTTGCGGTGAAATCGGATTAGTTTTCTCTGTGTTTTGGGATTGCTTTCTATTTAACGTTTTAGTGGTTCAAAATATATCTACTGTGAGATATTGGGATATTGTACGAATATCTCTGAGAAAATATTTCAGCAATTTGTTTTATTTATTGTGATTAGAATAAATTTTACTAACTTTTTTCGACTTGTGCATTCAATCAATTACGGACCCGTTCGCACGCAATTGTTACGAAATGTACAGGTGCGGTAAGATGGCTTCCCCGCAAAGCAGTTTTAGGGTTGCCGTAAATTGCAAGGAAAGGCAGGGTTCCCACATTTTGCGAGAAATCGCCCATTTGGAATCAAAATGGGCGATATACTATGGACGGATGGAAAACCTTTTGGAACGAATTCTTAACGGTTTACCCCAGAATGTTCTCGAACACAAGCTGAAAGCTGTATAAACCCTGCTGTTCCGCAGTCAGTTAGTGAGTGTGTCTCATCTAGTTAGTCCGTGCGGAGACGATCGAGTTGACAGCCGGCCAGCCAGTGCCGAGTAGGTCGTCGAGTGCATCGAAAGAGTCTTTTAGTGTATCGCGGTTTGTGCATCGTAGAGAGAGTGTGTTGAGCTTTGGTAATGACTGAACCGAAGAGTCGGCAGCTGTGCTCTGTGTGTCGTCGAGTGCATTGCGAGTTGTAGCGTGGAGAGTCCCGAGAGTACGTGGAGTTCCGAGAACGACCAAGCAGAGTCGGAAGCTGTACTCTGGTGCTTTGCAGGAAACTGTCTCCACCGTTATAGCCTGATAACCTGAAGCTGTGCCGCTGATTGTTTGAGCGAGTGTATTGTAGATCTTCGACACGACTGTGAAACGTGACTTTGGAGCTATCCTGATTAATATTGGCGAAATGAAGTGTGTTTTGATACTTCATCAAGTGCTGTCGTCTTTATTCACTTGAAATCCTCACAAACCCCGCACGAACGTGAAAGAAGAAAATAACGTAAAACTGGTGTCAGAAGAAAACATAACAATATCATAAATAATAAAAAAAAAGAGCGAAGTTATCAGCCCTACTTACTACTTTTAAAACTCTGAGAATAGTAGACTTTAAACTTTGGATGCTGCAATGGAGAAAGATTACTCTTTTTTTATCTAGACTTGCATTTAAATATTTGGTATGTTTTTTCAAACCTCTACTATTAATAAGTCGCTTTTCTCCTGTAAAAAGAAATATGATTCTGGAAGAAAAGATTTAGGTATTGAAGATGACTTGCCTAATTTCATTATATTTTTAAAATTTCTGTGATTATACTACAATTACAGTTTTATTTACCATTCAATTACTTACGTGCATATTTTCAAGGAAGCAAGTACAACATGAAGATTTAAAATCCCAGCTGTATCTTATAGGGTGTGATTAAAAGTAGCGTGTTTTAAATTTTCAGACATTGTTGAAGCGCAGCGAATTTTTATTCCTGAAGTTCAATTATTACACGTTTAGGAATTCATATTTTCGTATTAGGCAATGCAGAACTCATTATTTCTTGCTGGTTGTATGGAAATATTTTTATCCATATCTCACCAAAATTTACCAGCAAAATTTTGGAACGTTTTATTGGAGATTTGGCTCTGCAATGCTATATAAGATGTTAAGTTCTACATTTAAGAAACTTTTTCACCCACTACATTGAAAATAGTTCAGCCTGATGGACCTCTCTATACTATTTTGGGGAACTCTAAGATTAGACGTACACGTTTACACTGAACTTTAAGAACTAAATCTTTACTCACGTTTTGGAATAACATGTATATTACATACAATACATAGGCACAAGCATATATCAATCATGCTAATTGATCATGATCACATATACGAGACTTTTTTTATCTTGTGGGAAGAATATTTTTCAAAGAAAACCTTTATTGTTAATCGAAATTAGCTCATTTCTCGTGCAACAAACCTCAAAATAATCTGTGCTATCATTCAACTGCATTTTCAGTGGCTATTAATTCCTGTTCGTGACAAAGGTCGAGATTGCTATAAATAGTTAAAGAAGCCTTTTAGATTTTCCTTTTATATATTTTGTCAAGTAGACCCCTAAAAGGGCTTAGTTTAGTCTGATCATGAAACTGCGATAGGGCTACTTGCAAAAGGGAAATGCTGACTTTGTAGGAGGACTTTCTGAGAAACATTTGCTCGTATCCACGTTACACAGAAAACCAAGAAAACGCCCATCGAATGGAATCGAATTCAGAGACTGAAATCGAACTTAGGTCGAACTACCATTGTTCAGAGAATTTGCCTCTCGGCCGCTGCTGGGAAAACACAAAAGGAAAAACGCTAATAAGAAGAAAGGAATCTTGCTAATTTAATGTATGACGTTAGAATTAATTTTCTGTGAGTTTAAAGAAATTGAACAGTATTGAATTTCTATAAAAAATTGAAAAGCGAATTATTATTATTATTATTTGTATCTGGAAATTAATGCTAGCCTAGTAAAATACTTCTGACACTGAAAGAATAAGTGAGTAACTTTGATATGCAGTCTGTCGTGAAATTTTATCAATGAAAACTTTTCAAAAAAGAGCTCTTATTCACAATATTTTAGGGAATTTGTGTTTCGCAATATTATTTGGTTGAATTTAAATCGCAAAAATACTACGAGTCTAAATCTTAAAGTAATAAAACTACATGTGAATATTATTTCCCGGGGTCCCGAGGACTGGATTAAGAAGGACTGGATCCCATTGATCAAACGGGAGACATGTGAATATCGCTGCCGTTTGATTAACGAAATTTAACTTGCGTTTTCAAAGTCTCAAAAACATACAAAAAATGTTTATTTTCCTTCAACAAAAATTTACTGAAATGTTCAGTTCCACATTTGAAGTTTTTGTTACTTATTTATTTTTTAATTTTCGAATGCCAAAAGGCTTTCCTTGAGAAATTGGATAGAAAATGAATTCATTTTTAGGGTAATTCGAAATTAATGTTTTCCCGTTTAATATAATTCAGTGATTTTCCTTTATGATTTACTAGAGTGTAAAATTCTTTAATTTATAATTTTATTACATTTTATATACCAAACGAAATTTTACAAAAGTAAATTATAAGTGTTTAAAGGCTAATGGCATGTTAATAATATATGCATGCAGTTTTATTACTTTAAGATTTGGACTCGTAGTATTTTTTCGATTTAAACTTAACCAAATAATATTGCGAAACGCAAATTCCCTAAAATATTGTGAATAAGAGCTCTTTTTTAAAAGTTTTCATTGATAAAATTTCACGACAGACTGCATATCAATGCTACTCACTTATTCTTTCAGTGTCAGAAATACTTTACTAAGCTAGCATTCATTTCCAGATACAAATAATAATAATAATAATTCACTTTTCAGTTTTTTTACAGAAACATTATTTCAAATATTCAAACTGCATGGCCAGTTTTTTACATATGATTTGTGTTTTAATTTTTATAATGAGTACATAATGTCTTATTGAATATGATTATAAAGACTAATGGGAAGATATAAAAAACTGAATTTTGAAATTTTTATAAAACTTACTGTTTAATAAAAAATGTTAAAATATAAGAATTTGCCTTATTTAAAACATGTCTGTAATTGTAAGTCTATGGCTACGACCTACATTTGAGATAATAAGCTGCAAAAGGGCTCTTATGGACATAGTGTATTCCGAAATCAACATCGCTGTTAGCATTAAATTATTTCATTAAGTTGAAATATGGTGATAAGATGTGCCTTTACGTGCTTTTGCATAAATAAAACCTAAAATATATTTCATTAAAACTAATTACAATTTCTTCCCATACATTTCAGGTTTCGAAGCTCCAGTAGTACGTGCATTGATAGAGATATCCGAGGTAAGTCCCCTTTTTTTCTTCTTTCCTTTCTCTTCCTACCTCAGCTACTCTTCATCAATTGAACGGTTATTTAAAATTTTGTTAACAGTGTGATCAATGAATAGTGATTTTGTTAATAGTGTGATCAATATTCGTAAATAATATCATCTTCAGTCTCGTCCATAACATTACTGATGAAACATTTTTGGTTTATTTTTCGAATGGATCAGGAACTTAATAATGTTCAATTATTAAAAGAGCCATCAAAACAGAAGAAAATATGTCAAAGTGAAACATAAAATTAGCAATGTAACAACCTTGTGTTTGGCGCAGATTTAGTCAAGATTTCAATCGATTTCGAGGGCAAACAGGTACAGGTCCTTCTTCATCAGAAACAAAGAAATATGCAGTAGAAAACAGCCAAGTTTCAAGTTCCTGTGTTATGCTGGAATATCGTATAATAGGTACGACGTTGTCCAGCTTAGGTAAAGTGGTGCCCTGGGGCGCATGACTATGTTGTTTCCTTAGGCATGGTTCTCCAAGGAGATAGGCAATAAGGGGTGACAAGAGAGGACCGCAAGACATCACAGGCCTGAAATACACAAAATAAACAAACTCACGGATGAAAATAAGTACAGGTACAAATAAATTTAGCACAAGTTGCCGTAATTAAAGTTATATACGTATTCACAAGTGACGTCATAACCAGGATAAAAGTCCAAAATTGAAAAATGTTATCCGGCGCATTGGTGGTATTTATACCGCACAGCAGTAAACCGAGCAAGAAGGCAGCCCTGTGTGTCGGTAAAAAAAATAATGAAGTTAAAAAATTAAGTTAATAGAACTTTAAAAGCATTAAGAAGGACTGTATTGGACTTAAATTCATTAACTAAACAAGATAATTTTTTGAGAACAGGAAAAGCTTCAAAAAAAAGGCATTTCACCAATTGAAGAAGCTTTGAAATAATATTTTCAGACCCAAGGCCAAATTAAACAGCGTTAATGTTTTGTATCAAGAACATGAATCTTTTCCAAAAAAGTCTAGTCTTCGATAACTAATCATAGTTTGGAAATTTAATCATAATTTTGAACTTGCTACTGAAAAATTTATTCAAAAAGCCTTTACAATCGGTAAATTGAAAAGGCTCAAAGATTTATCTTGCTCAGTTAATGACTTTGAGTCAAATCCAGTCCTTCCTAAACCTTTTAAAAGTCTACTAACTTAATTTTTCAATTTCTTTACTACTTTTGTCGACAGATGGCGCTACCTATTCGCTCTCTTTACTGCCGCAAGGAATAGATATGTCCGATGTATCGCTGTTTTCCAGTCTTTCATATTTCTGATAAAGAGGAACACCTCGAAATTGAAACAAGATGCCAGAAACAAGGCAGTTGCTATGCAACTAAAAGATTACCTAGTAAAATTAATGCTATGTCAATTTGAGCTGGATTTCTTAAACCCGGATTGATAAGCTATTTTAATTTCAGTTCATATAGAGGTCTTTAATTTTGGATGAATTTTTGGCAGCAAAATCTTTCTTCTTGACTTGCACGGATTGGCTTATGCTCTGAAATACATGGCACTTCGAAACTTTAAAAAGTGATTTTAGATTCTTACATGTTTGAAATTACATTAAATTTTTTAATGAAATAAGAACAAGACCACCCTTTGATAAATTTGTTTTTGTGATAACTATGCACTTCGCTATTTAGTGGCCTTTAAAAATAAGTTTTACAAATGACGCGGGGGAGGGGATATGAAGCCAAGAAATCTCATTTCATCCAAAGTCCTTGATTATTAGAATTAAGTTTTAATTGATAAGTTAGCTTCAAAAAAGAATCTTAAAAAAATAAAGAGATATGAGAAACTAGTACATCTGTATGGCTTTTCGGAAAACGGGTCGATGGTAAATTAATTTAGTAACCGATACTGCATTTCTAACTTCCTTTCTCGAAAGACAAAGTAGCGCTACTCTCGTCTATTTCAGTTCTTCACACACCCGTATTAAGAATTACAATAACAATATAAATACGTCATTTATTTTGTCTTATAGCCCAATATTTTGCAATAGTAAAGGGCCCAATCGAATGGAATCGCAAGATTGAGGGCTATAGTTATGTTAACTATTCACCGAACCGTCATGAGCAATAGATGTATTACGCCGCAATTCCAAGAGCTCGCAATTTTCCCAGTAGTGTCATCGACTAGTTTCGCGATCTTGTAAGTGGCAGCTAGGGAGTGCTTGAGAATATGTGGAGGAGAATTAACCACTTGCTCAATTCGTGGGAAACTCATATTTCAAAGGTAAGATTACACCAATGGCAGAAGTCTTCATTTTTGGTGCTGATTATTTTATTAGCAGATTTTTTCCTCCCGTTCAAAGTCTGTACTGATGCAGTATAATATACACAGTTTTATAATTTTAAAAGTCGGTTTATGTGTCCACCACATCGGTGAAAAAAAGACATTTTAGAGAACTGTGGCAAACGCTGCAATATTTTTAATCGAAAGTCACTTTCTCGAGACTATCATTAATAGTTTAACATCACCAAGATTTTGACTACATATATCATTCTTTAGCGAATTCCTCATTCTTGATCAATTTAGATATCTTGTTCATCATCTAAACTTCTTTAATTGACAATGTTTCATTTCACTTTTTATGACCATCAACTCTGAATAAACACTAAATTTTAAAGACATGGTCTTTTACACATTTTATGATTTATAGCTAGGCAGTTGATTAAAAATATAAATTTTCAATAAGAATCGGTAAGCGTACAGTATATAATATTTTAGATAAAACTGCAAACTATATAGTTTGCAGTTTTATATATATATGTGTGTGTGCGTGTGTGTGTAATTTTAAATGTTTTACGTAAATGTAAATTTAAGAGACTTTTATTAAGTTAATAAACTTTAATTGAGCCAATACTAGTAAAAATTGTAATGAATTAAATAAAACAAAAACTTTAGATGTATATGTAGTTTTAAATGTCTAGAGTATAATTTCGCGTAGAAACTGGGAAGACCGCAACCAATGTAACATAATACAATAATCCTATAAGTTTGCTTTCATCTCTTTCATTTTATACATTTCATTTCCAAAACAAACAAAAATAAAGTTCAAGTGTTTCTTGTCCTATTATAGTAAGTAATAAAAACAATCTGAAAATATGTTCATTTAATTTTTATTCATGAAATATTATTGCGAAAGTGAATTTCCTGTTCATTATTATTTATATAATTTTCCTTTCAGCTAGTTCTCATAATTGTTGAATCAATGTTGATAGAATTTATTTAAAAAATTTAAATTGCTTTATATGTGTAAATTATGAAACAGAATTCAGAATATTTTCTTTAGTAGAACAATATTCGTTTATTTAAAAGGTATGCTATTAAACCGCACTGTCAGTCTTAAAATGCATCACTCATCTGGAAAAATGACTCATAATGAAACTGGCAGTAGAAAACAGCAATAAGGAGAGAAAAAAGAGAGGAGTGATTAAAATCTGATAACAATTTATCCATTTTCTGAATAAACATAAGTCCTGTTCTGTTACATATTGCTATAAAGCACAGTCGTGTTTAACGGCAATTCATAAAAATATCGGTGTAATATGTATTCTTGTAAACGTCAAATATTGTCATCTGGAATTTACTGTGTAGTATTCTGTAAATCAGAAAATTCGCACACTTTGAGCAATAGTTGTGACACATGTTCTCTCGTGTCCCATTTATGCTGGCTTTTCTTTGATATCTGACAGCGAGGAAAGATAAGCTGTGACACTCCGTAGCTATTTCTCAGAGAACTTGGCATGTACGGATGGGCGTTATTTTCTAAAAGCTAGTCTCCCCTTTATTGTCAACAGTATATGATAGGATGTCATCGACATGCTGTTGGGGAATTCCAGTACCTTCATGGTAAATACGTTAATCAAGTATATACGCACTAACTCCTTCAGTTGTAGTACCAGGTGAAATAAGACTTTGTCCTTATCACAAAAATGTAGAGAAAGGTGTGTTGGTTAGATGTCCTTCAGAAACAAATTCTTAAGTTATACCAGCTGACTGAAAATCCTGATTTATTACAGAATACAATTAGTCTTGAATCCGATACATCTTTGCATCAATGAAACATCTTTGCAATCTTGAAATTAAAGAAGTACTACAATGCCCAGGAGTTAGTGATAGACGCTGCAATGGACAAAGACATCCAGCATTATTGCAGCAACATGCTTCTTGAAACTACACATTCCAGAGATACGAGTAAATAGTTCCGAATGCCAGATAGCAAAGCTGCATGTGTGCAGTTTGCCGGTCATCTTGGGGCTGCCACTGCCCTCATAACGATAAAGGAAATTATGTTAGTAATTATGGTAAAAACATTACCTTACTGTGTCATGGCTTCGGCCCTTGGGTTATGTGATTCTTTGGCATGATCAGCCTCTTTCATTGTAGGCAGTAATGCGATGTCTATTGAATTCTCTCAGACAGATGAGCCCCCGTTGATGAAGCCATTTTCTATAGATAATACAAACAATATTCTCACATGAGTAATCGGAATTTTCACAGTAGCCTATAATTTTTAGTGCCCTATTCCCCTTTCCTTTTGTATTCATTTTTATCTGTTATGTTTATTGGCAGTGTATTTTCTATCTTTCGCGTGTATGGCCAAGACATGTCCAGAATTTTTTTTTAATTTACACAGCGATGTGCAATAAAATTTAAAATTTAGTAATATAAGATTTAAAGATAAACTGAAATGAATTTTAAGTCTGGCATTATGTTAAAATTAAATTGGAGTTTCTTGTTGGAAAATAAATAAATATATATATATATATATATATAATATATATAAAGATAAAACCGGAGCAATGTTTAGTTCTGTTCTGTAATCATATATAAGATTTATTATATTTTTTGCTATATGCCCCTGTTACGTTCCATTCTCGTGTGATCAGAAATTCCCCTGACATGAATCGTTTAATAATACAGTCAACTTATGAATAATATATAA